AGGAATTTTTTCAGACTGCTGTGTTGCTAAACAACAAAGTAGTTATCCCTTATCTAACCAATAATTTTTTTAAATTAGAGAATCGATGGAATCTTAATTTGATCATGTAGTTACTCTATCGAGTAAAAAATTCTTCATCAAAATCTGTTTCCTCCTTAAATTTACTATAGAAGATAAAACATATACCAAGTTAATGGACCGATGCCGTAAATCGCCATTAATACTATAACAGAGGACACAAGCCTAGATACTTATCATAGGGTATCCATATCATTCTGACCAGGTTGCGAAAACGAGGTCAAACAAGTAGCTGTTCGTCACTTCTGATTAACTCTACTCAACTTTTTTCCAATTTTATTCTTTGGGTGGCATGGTAGGTAACGCCTTTTGCCTCAACGGAAGCCTATCATGAGACTATAGCACATAACATAGTACGAGATAAGCTCTTTGAGGTCATACTGTCACCATTACTTGATACTTATTATTTGTACAATCTTCTTAGGAGTCTTCGAATTGCTCGCAACGACTGGAGTATCCGTTTGGCCACGATATCCAAGCAAAATGCTAATTTACTCTCTGAATTGCACCGACAGAGGGCTACCAAACAGTTGAATCTCCTTCCACTTGGAACTACGAACAGTAGAAATTTAGTTTACCAGGCGTTCGTCCGAGGTGTCGTCCTTTCCAGTCGACAACGCTCATTCCTTGAGCATCGTGCTGGAATTGTCGATCTAACTGGGACTAAGGTATTACATTCCTTTGAAAGCATCTCAATGCTTCCTGAGGGTTTTTTAAAATATTTTTGAGCGTTCCTTACACTTGATAAACGTATTCGATATTAAGATTACATTCTATTTACAAATTTTTTTATTGGATTTGTCAGTGGCATTTCCAAGAGCAATACCTACTCTAAAGCATACGTTTTTTGGTAAATTTTGGTACCATCTACTCCTCAGTGTTAATTCTAAAAACTTTTTAAAACATCAAAACAAATACGCAAGCGCTTAATTTTTCAGATAAGTCCTTTTATGATACATCTTTATCGATTAGTAAAGTGAAATACTTGAACCAGAGAGATAGCAGACCGATTTTACAGGGTAAGAGGGAGACTGACAAGACCTATGGAAGGAGGACTCCGTAACAATATGGCAGACCGATCAATATTCTCAGCCCAAGGGTGAAGGGGAGTGAGACTGCCAGTGTGGAGAGTGGAGAGTTATAATGAAAGCTGCTCAACCTTGGATTCTCATTTCTCCTTTTAGTATTAGATCATTTTTATACATCGTTTAACCCTTCGTTTTTTAAACTCAATTTTTGACCCACAGCTTAAAATGCTTCAAAATATTTCCTTTGGACTAAATAACCTTGGCATTTATGTTCCATTACTTCTCTTTGCTGTCTTTTTGTATTTGTAAAATTATATGCATGCCTGATTCCTTGAGTTCGATTGCTAATGTTTTCCCTTTGTCGAGATGTAACAAACCTACTAATTACTTCACCTTAGTGGCGGGTTCACTTTTCCTTTCCTTAATTAGTCTACCTAACCTTGAAATATTTATGGAATTATTATGAGACGGCTTACAGTTCATTTCTGAAATCCTCATTAACATTTTTATATGTAAAATATCTATTGTTGGTTTGACCTTGTTTCCGCAACTTGGTTGATCTCCAGCATCGAGCCGTTGACTTCCAGGCGTTTCGCCGGCATCGTCAGTAAGATAAGCCATCTCTAGCACAGAGTTACAACTTATAAAAGTGACAAGTGAAGGCAGTATTTTTGACCAATTTTCCGTTCAAAATTTCTGACATCTCACCTCCCCTCCTTCATCCTAACTTATAGCGCTTCATCCCTTTCTCCCAATCCCACTTCTAATGGCCCAACAATACATAGCTAAAAAAAATCGACTAAACCTAAGGCCTCACCATAATGGCCTTTCTGTCTAAAAACTGTTTCGCATCCCTATTTTTTCCTCTTATTCCGGACATAGAACTTATTTTCCCTATATTTAGATGTTTATGTCTACTGGTTTTGTCAGAAAATTTACAATTGTTGAGCTTACTTCCATTTCGAGTGAAAGTGTTGGGTAAAGAGATTCGAAGGTCGGTTCCACCAGAAGAAGACGGCGGATTCCTCTTGACCAGCTGTCGATTGGCTTTACTGGAAGCTTCATACTGACGCTGTTTCCGAGGCAATCTCCTTCGATTACGGTGAAAAGATGTTATCGTCCGTCATATGACGGACATCATCAGAGCGAGGTAACAACATCACAACAAAATTCAGGCTTGCGAGTTAGACGAATATCATCAGAGCAAGGTAACATCGTCACAACAAAATTCAAGCTAACGAGTCAAGAAAACTCACCGGCAAATCCCTAAAAAGTGGTATATATACTCTACATATGGCCTCTGATCAAGTATAAAGTGATTTGGTTAGTTAAGGTCATATGTTAATTTCGATGCGTGTGAGGGTGTCTGTATTTGTATGTGCCTGTTTGTGTTCGCTTATGCACGAAACCCGAAGTGATGGCTCAAAGTAATTAAGACAGCAAAAAAGGAACGTCTGTTTTTGGCCATCAAGGTTTAATGACCCCCATCTGCCCCTTTCTACATTTCAGTTATAACCACCACTCCGATTGCGCAAGGTCGGACACGTCTGGTTTTGTTCATGAGCCTATTGTTAGTTTTTGGTCTTAATGCGAGAGAGAAACAGTTAGCTAAAAGGACAGAAAATTGACTAACATTAGAACTAAAAAATAAGAAAAGACTTGT